GAAAACTTGATTTAGCTCTGAACTGTTGTGTTTTTCTTAAATCTGTTTTCGTATAATTTTTTATGTGATCATTTTAAAAAGAAGCCATCACAAAATGTATCACAAAGAGTGGTGCGCTGAAGCACAAGAGATTGCTTCCAATTCTAACAACCTCAAACTGATCATCACTTTTATTCTTGTTTTATGCTACCTTTGTTTGTGCATTATCATTTTACTTATTTTCAATAATAAGTTTAACGCCAATAAATCGTAGACTAATAGTTTATTTTGGTGAACAAAAACGTTAGTAAATTTTTTTATTAGATCTTTAAACAATTCTTTTTTAATATGCCAAACCAGGAACTTAAAACCAACGCAACGATCCTACTTTTTTCCAGTAAAATTTTTTATTTTTTTTACTACTTTATATATTTAAAAAGTGCTATTTACAAGAAATTCTTTTGGTTTAATAATAATTGTCCGGTTTCTCTCTTTTTTATATCTTTTTTTCAATTTATGCTTATTGCTCTGGCAATTACCTCCAGCCACAACAGTTGAAACNTTTTATTTCATATCTTTTTTCAATTTATGCTTATTGCTCTGGCAATTACCTCCAGCCACAACAGTTGAAACACCTTCACTAGAAAGTCTTCAATACTAAAGTTTAATACTTGTCCTTGTTGTTGATTTTATTTTCGTTCTTCTATACTTTGTTTTTGTTTTTAAAATCACCTTACTCCTTTTGGTAAGTCGCTGAAAACTTTTCTTGAGCAATGAGAGATGTAGAACAAAAGGCAAAAATGTCGACCTTTTCGCTTCACTAAACCTTAACTCTTTACAGCGGTGTCAATGTGCCGTGAAACAAGTGTGCAGTTACAATGAAATTAAAGGTTTTTTGTAAAAACAAAGATTGAGTGTACTAAAAATTATTTGAGTAAATTTTAATTTTGAAATAAAATAATTTTCAGTAATTTTACAATTTATTTCACGTTGCTAAGCAAGGTGAAACTTGACGGTAAAAAAACAAATTACTGTTGATCAGCGTTTTTAATTTTGTACTGATGACAGTAAGAAACACACAAAAACAGTTGGTTTTATTCAAAATATTGATTTTTTTAAGTTGACAAAAAACATATTAGTTCTGCGCCAAAATTACGCCACTCAATTAAAGTTGGTATTTTTTAAATTACTATGAAAAACACATGTCAACGATAAAAATGCTTTACAGTAATTTTAAGTTTAAAAATACCCCGTCTCGTATCTTGGCTGCAAAAACTCTTTTTATTTTATATTCATCCAAATGGCACAACACTCTTCAACTCAGTTTAATATATATCAATTAAAAGTAAATTAGCCGACATTTAAAAGAGTGAAAGGGACAAATAAACTGCAATTAAGCGTAAGTGTGTGTGTGTTAGCTAATTAATTTGTCAGTGAAATGTTGTTGTGAAAAAACTGAAGAATGAAGAATCTTCAAATGGAGAAAGAGAAAAGGTTTCTAATTGAGTTCTTCTTGCCTTGTGCGTCTGTCTGAAGTGTTTGTGATGCACTGACTTGGGTGCTTGGTTTTCCGTCTGACTGTTTTTACCAAAATGCCGCCACCAATTCTGTTCAAAGTGCTCACTCACGTTCTGAGTTCTCCCTTTTCGCCCAGTTAATCAATTGCTATCATTACTATTCGTTTCACTGCTACTCTCACTTTTACCTAAAATCGAAGCATCACACACTCTGAGAGCGATGGTTCCGGTTCATCAACTAACCATAGGTGTACCTGTGTATCGGTTACCATTTAACGCAGTCTTGTTGTATAACTCCTGTTTTAATGTTTTGTTTTCTCTCTATTCCCATTTGCAAAAATCCTTGTGCGTAGATTTGATCGTGCCTTTTTGCCGCCAAATGTAAAACACAAAATACAGTCAATTTCTGTACAGTTTAGGTTCCGCCACTTCAGTCTGTCTGCAGCCCTGTTTATCACCTTGCCTTCATCCCCTCCTAATCACTGGACACCCCACTGATTTGTTTAAATTGTCTGCTATGTTTTGTCTACCTGTCTGGCTAGCTGTGTGACGACTTGCCCTTATCCAACATACTGCTACCTACTATCACCATCAGTATTGTGCTCGGCTGACTTTCGTCTTGGTTTTATTATTTTACTTTTCAAAATGCGTTACATTTGTTTAAAAGTAGGTAATATATCTAAAAGAATCTTTTAAAATGTGAGAAAACGAGTGATTTTTTCTTTTAGCAGCTAATTTGCTGCTTCACACCAAAAGAGGCGCTAGAGTAATTTCTTTGCACCACTAAAACCGATGCCAGATTTTTCTTTGCCTTTACTGTCGACAGATGTGTGCGGGCACTAAGAACACCAAGTCCCTAATCGATTTACTCTTTCTCAGCTGGAGGTAGGGAGTGATCAGAGGTTGTAATCAGTAGCAATTAGTGCTTGTAATTGCTACCACCACTACTACTACTAATACCTGGCAATGAAAATATTTTGAATTGCAACTAGACAGTATCCAACTCAGTGCAGATTAAGTATTGTTTTAAAAGTTTTCAAATCTGTGCTTTGTCGTGTAACTAATGTAAAGAGTGTGCATAAAGTTTAAAAAATAATTAGAAATCAATGTAAAGGTTGATTAACTAGTTTACTAACAAAAACTCATTTTAAAATTTAAAAGTTTTAATTTTTAAATCTTATCAGAAACAGACTGATCCTGGATTAGCTGGTTCATTGAAAAGGATTAGCATCAAGTGGACAGTGCTTTTTTCACTGCAGTCAGTTTGCTCACATTTTCATCCATATACTTTTACATTTTTTAATCTTTTTGTCTATGCACATTTACGTCAGAAAATNCTAGTTTACTAACAAAAAACTCATTTTAAAATTTAAAAGTTTTAATTTTTAAATTTTATCAGAAACAGACTGATCCTGGATTAGTTGGTTCATTAAAAAGGATTAGCATCAAGTGGANTGGGGGCCACTTTTAATGAGGAGAAATTCAGAAGTATAAAAAGTACTGCACATTCTCTTAAAAATCTCAAGTCTCTTAGGCTTTTTAGTCTAATTGACATTATTCATTTTTTTACGCCAACTCATTTTTATTTTGCTAATTTATCTTTGTGTGTTTGTTTTGATAAATGGTGTTGATAAACATTTGTGTGGCAAACTTGACCGTGTGTGTGTGCATTTTGGTTTTTTTATTTTTTTGCTAAGTGCGTGTACCTTGTATACAAACATTAAACTAAACTTAACAAAAAACGAAACGTACGTACACAGCTGCATAAACAGAAAAAGAAAAAGAAAACAAGCAAAAAGAGCAAACTTTTTTGCATTATTTTACCACAACTCATTAGTAATATACTTGAGCATATTTTGACTGATGGAGATGTCCGATAATCGATTTGTGATTTAGGGTAGCTGATAAACTGACGGTGACAGCATCAGCAACTCTAGCGCTAATCAAACTCTCAGACAATGACTCCTGCATTTCTTTGGGGTTACTTTGCAAACAGTTGACTTTTCTCTAGACTTTAGACCAACTTGATGTGCCGGAGAATTAGTGACGCAGAGAAGTGTGCGGCCAGATAGACACTTGAGTTTGTAAATTAAAATTTGATTTAAGATAACAGAAAACCAGCACGTAAAGCGCCAGAGGTCGCGCTGATAAACTCAAGTTTCTCAAAGCACAAAAAGCACTTGATTTGGCACCTTTTAATTTACCTTCTTTTTTCTTTTATTTACCATTTTTTGTAGATGCTAATGCGTTTAAAAAATATAGCCAAGTAAAAGTTTAACTTTGAATAAGCTCATCACTTCTAAATCCTTCACTTGAACACTCAACTCTTAAATCTGCCTCTGATGTACAACGACCCCAGCTGCACTTTTACTCAAACAAATTTTTCTGTTTTTCTTGAATGCCAGCCACCAGTTCAATTTCCTCACTCAACCAACTCTCTTCAGAAACAGCAGCAACTTAGCCAAAGTCGCCGTCTGAAGTTCCCGGAAACACTGGCCAGCAAAGTGGAGCCTGGCTAAAAGGCAGCAACAACTAGCTTAGATTTAGGATAATTAGTAGCAATTAGTTGCTCTTATCAATCAATATCAACAAGTTTTACCTTTTCCTCAAAAAACAACTTTTTACTTAGTGTTTGGAGAGGGAAACTTCAAAACAGTAAACAGCAAACTTGAAAAGCCGCACAGTTGGAGGATGTCTCCAAACCCTGATGGCGGCAGCAATGGCTTTGTCAACAATGCCTTTGAAGGATCAAACAGTGATCTGTCTAGAGTGGGCAATGGCGGAGGCTACCTCAACGAAGACGCCACATTTCAGGGGCTAGATGTGAACCAAAACCAAATCTCTCTGAAGAATTTTAAAAAGTTCGATGATGATTATGATGACCTTAAGAAGGGAGACGCTGAGAAGGGTGGTGGCACTCAGCCGCCGCCNCTTTGAAGGATCAAACAGTGATCTGTCTAGAGTGGGCAATGGCGGAGGCTACCTCAACGAAGACGCCACATTTCAGGGGCTAGATGTGAACCAAAACCAAATCTCTCTGAAGAATTTTAAAAAGTTCGATGATGATTATGATGACCTTAAGAAGGGAGACGCTGAGAAGGGTGGTGGCACTCAGCCGCCGCCCACAGGTCCACAGAAGGAGTGTCATGCTCGGAAGGAGGAGGCCACATATGAGGTGCAGACAGCATGGGCAGTCCTCCGACAGATGATGGTGCCTTTTATCATTGCCGGCTTTGGCTCGGTCTTTGCCGGCATCGTCCTCAACATGGTCACCAAGTGGGAAGTCTTTCAAGCGGTAAGTTATTGCTGCAGTGTTTACAATTTAATTACTAAACTGTGCCATTTTTTTAATTCAGGTTCCTCAGCTGGAGATCATGGTGCCGGCCTTTCTGGGTCTAATTGGCAACATTGAAACGACGCTTGCTTCGAGGCTGTCCACTCACGCTAATATAGGCACCTTGGACACTTGGCAAGGCCTAAAGACAATCATGACTGGAAATATGCTGGTGGTGCAGTGTCAGGCGTCGACGGTGGGCCTATTTGCCGCCCTCGCTTCGCTGGCAATGTCGACGATTAAGAAGAAAACCAGACAGACGATCACACTGGACAGCGCACTGATGCTCGCCTCTGGCTCGGTGATCACCTCCATTATTGCCAACTCCATTCTCGCCACTGTCATTAGTATTGTCATCATTACGGCTAGGAAGTTTAGGATTAATCCAGGTAAAAGTTTATTGTTTGTGTATTGTGTTTTTTGAAATATCAATTTTTGGTTTTTTACTTTAGACAACATCTCCACACCTGTGGCCGCTTCAATGGGCGACGTCTGCTCGATCACCATTCTTGCGGTCATCATGCAGACGCTTTATCAGTGGCACAACCGAATTCTAAACATCAGTCTCATCGTCGGGCTGATCGCTTTTGCGCCCATTTTTGGGTACTTTGCACGACAGAATCGCTTCACAAAGTCGGTCATCTACACAGGATGGACAGCCATTCTGGGCGCTGTCATCGTAGAGCAGCCTGGTGGCATGGTCATGCAGGATTCATTCGAGAAGTATAAAGTGTTGTCCACTTTTCAACCTCTTGTTAATGGTTTGTAATGATTTAAAATGAAATAAGCTTACTAAAAAGTTTTGTTTATTTATCAGGTATCGGAAGCAACCTAGTGGGCATTCAGACGAGTCGAATGTCGACTTTTCTGCATTCAGTCAGCAAGAAGGGACAACTGCCGGAGAGCAATTCTCGCTACTGTGTTGGCCCATTTTGGGTTTTCCTATCAAAAGGTAAAGCTATTTATTGGCAAAATTACAAAAACTAATATTTTTTTACTTCAGACACGAACGCAAAGATGGCTCGTCTGTTGATGTTGGTCGTAGTGCCAGCACATCTCTTCTACATGGCCTTCATTTACCTGGTGCAGTCCAAGTTTGAGTTCTCCATCATCATCTCTCCCTGGTTCATTGGCTCCTACAGTGTGGCCGTAGTCATTCAGCTGGCAGTCCTCCTCTACCTCGCCTACATCTCCGTCTTTTGGGCGTGGAAGCACAAGATCAACCCTGACAACTCGGCAATTCCCTTCACCTCGGCGCTGGCCGACGTCCTCGGCAACTGTCTCATGGCGGCTGCGTTCACCTTTCTCAAGGCGGTCGATGATCCGAATGCGAACATTGTCGATGACGATGGCGACGCGACCACGACCATGGCCTCAGTGGCGACAACGACATTGAGCGCACTAGCAAACATGACACTGACGACGGTTGCCAGCAACTTCACCAACACCACCACCAGACTCACCTAACTAAGCACAACTGTTTGATTGTGCAACTTTAACTTATAATATTCTCACTCTCACAACATTCTCAAACACTCTCTTTTACCTTTCTTTTCTGTACAGAACTTTTAGTCTTGTTTTTACTATTGTAGATTTTTTCAATTTATTTTTTCATTTTTGCTGTTTTATTCTCTTACACTTTTTGTACACAACTTTTT